ATCACTTTCAGAAGCCAAGAGTCCCTCAAGTTATTTCCGCACTCATTCTCCATAACACCAAGAAATATGACAGCAACTGGCCCAAAACAAACATGGAAATAATATCAGAGCAATGTAAAGGCAGTGGCAACTAGCTCCACAAAAAAGTCCAAACTCTTCTTTGAAGGTGTAAAGTTAATACTCTTAAATTAAGTATAAGAATTTTCTTACTTGTAAATATATTATGGATAACAAAACAAACATTGGCAGCGTATTCACAAATCTTCCTTCTTGAAGAGAACGTGAAAAATGAAATAAACATTTTTGCACAAATGTCAGTTGATATGTTTGCACATGCAAAGTGAAGTTAAACGTACCTTTCAGGACCGCTTCTGATCCCCAGAGACAAAATTACTATTCCAGTGAAATTAATCACTATCATCACACACACAAGAGCAAAGAAGAAGACCTAAAAAAAATACATATACACACACATTAAAAATACATGTGGGAAAAATTAAACAGATGTTGTTATTGAGACGTGTTTTCCACCACCAGTTGTTGCTCACCTTGAAGGAATCACCGATACTAAACAAGATCAGGGACGAGATTTCAACAGCCACACAGAGCACGTTGCCTGCTACCTTACACACCTACAAAATTTAAATAAAAACAACAGTGCATATTATAAGTTAGCCTTGAAAGCCCTGAAAATCCATATTTTACCCTATGGAAGCAGGGGTAAGTTCCAGCACCCCGTGAACCCCCGGCTTTCAAACGAACTACATACTCAAAGAATTCTTGGAAGCAATACAAAGATGCAGGACAAGAAGAAAATAAAACACTGTGAGCACCACAGGCCCCCAGCTCTTACCTTATTTATACGATGAAAAACAGCCTCACTGGCCAGTAAGACTTTGCCTATATTGGATATTACCTAACAAGACATAAAGTAGAACACAATTACATTTCTTTTTGTTCTTTTAAGGTGGGGCTGAATAGCATTTAGTGCGTGTCTTGAGTATCGTTAAATATGCTACTTACTTTCATCTGTGCCACCAAAACACAATCAAAACACATCAGTGCAATACCTGCTCGCTGAAAGTAAATCAGAAACAGGGAGCAGTGTTGTCAAAAAAAGCTCTTGCAAGGTTAATGAGTCACTTTGTGCACAGTGTTACAAAATCAAATCCACCTGTGGGTTCTTACTTCTTCTATGTTGGTGTTGTACTTTGTGGTGCTTGGTGTAGTAGTTGTTTCCGGTGTAGTAGATGTTTCTGGTGTAGTAGATGTTTGC